AACCATCTTAAGAGCACATCCGTTTTCCCCGGTATTTACAGCACTTTCGTCATGTACGATCATCATAAGAAGCCTCAAAATCGACTTGCCGAGTTTGCAAACTCGGCCTCTTCATTTTGGACTTGCTTCTGGGGGGGATGGGGGGGATGATGACGACAGAGTTACGCAAACACAACCAACAATATCACCACAGGAGCCGCTTTACTCGGTATTTACAGTACTTTCGTGATGTCCTACTTTGTTATATAGTTGCCACCCCTACTTCTGGACTGGGCGTCTTAACCTTTGGTGTCTCGAACGGCGTCCCGAAAAAACTCGAAATTGGTTGGGGGAACCGTTTTCCTCGGTATTTACAGTACGTGTGCACACGACCCGCTTTTACTCGGCATTTACAGTACTTGTGGTGATGTTGGTGATGAAAGGTGGTGAAATGTGCTTGGTTTGTCGTGATGTTGGTGATGAAATGTGTTTGGTTTTTCGTGAGCACACAACACAGCTTGTACTCGGTATACAGTACTTTTGGTGATGTTGGCGATGAAAGGTGATGAAATGTGTTTGCTTTTTGGTGATGTTGACAATGGAATGTGTTTGTTGGTTTTCGTGATGTTGGTGGTGATGATGTTGATGGCAATGACGAAGTGTAGTCGGTAGGCGGGGTGGGGGTGGCTAGTAGTAGTGGTCGTCGTCGTGGTCGTAGTCGTAGTCGTAGTCGTCGTGGTGGTAGTCGTAGTGGTAGTGGTGGTCGTCGTCGTCGTAGTAGTAGTAGTAGCAATAGTAATGGCAGTAGTAGTGGCAGTAGTAGCAGCACGATCCAGTGACGCTCAGCAGCACTTCAGGGCACTTGGAGGCTTGGGGTTTCGAGGATTTAGGTTTCAAGCTTGCGGAGTTTTCGGATTCCGGGCGCAGGCAGATCCCCAGCCTTCAATTGAGAGCTCAAGGGAAACCGAGGATGGTCTAAGCTTGAAGGTGGTTTGTGCAGTGGTTTCTGCATACCTTGGCTGGGAGTGCTTTCCCACAGGCGCAATGTTTCCCACCACAGCAGTCAAACCCCAAACTAGCTTGTAATCGACGAACCTACCCGTTGTCAAATCCGAGAAGCCTGTGCACCAACACGCGCACGAGACAGAAAGCTTCCAACCCGAGTAGAACCTTACGCAGCCCAGTGAAGCGCATGCTCACAGTCTTATGTTCTTCGCACCTAAACACTTTGGCCATGTTGTAAGCCACAACTGACAGCCCTGAGACAGTAAACTCCTGCCTACTTTTCCTGTGAGTAAGGCGCAAGGAATGCCATGATGCAGGGATCTCACACCGCTTGGTGGGCGTCGCGTCCGAGTCCTAGCATTTGTGCTTGTAGGCTTGTCGAGGCTTCGGACGTCATGGTTGGCGGTGGTTCGGGCTAACTCTTAATGTGGGAACTAGCTAAGGAAAGGCTTGCGATTGTAAAATGAAGTCCTTTGGCGGGGATCCAAGTAAAATACTTCGTTTTTGGAGCCCTGAGCTGAATGAACAGGATTGTCATCCTGCGAAGATTGCGGCCCAAGTGGTGGAGTATGAAGGACTGGACATGAATCTGGCAGTGAACGGTTGAGGGTTGCAGTTGAGAAGCAGCACTTTAAGCCGAAGTGACGCCAGAATACTCGTCGGAAGCCAGCTAGACTGACCAGCGGATGGTCTCTGGGCACGACGCCGTGACTAACAACAGACAGACAGTATGCTAATGTAGGACCCTGATTAAGAAATCCTGGCCCGCCTGGCCCTATATTATATATATATATATATGTACATATATGTATGTATGTCTAGCTTGCAAATATTAGGATCCATCGACAGCAGCCTACTAAAGACCCAGGGATTCTTCGCCAGCTTCCCACATCAGTTCGCCGTCAGCTTCTCGTCATTCTAGGACGCGAAGCTTCAAGCACCAAGCCAGACGGGTCTTGAGCACGGTGCAGCTCCTAAGTCGATAATACCTAACTTAAAATTAGATCCATAGCTCATGTAACACTAAGCCTGAAGACCTGAAACCTCGATGGGTGTGTCTTAGAGCATGAAGAGATCTCTTTCTCGGGCCACTTCTACCCAACATCCCACCAGGTGGGATCCACAATAGGGTCCTGCATACTCCACACACCCATATCTTACAACCCGACCCCTACACCATAATCCCCATCAACCTCCCCCCCAACCAACCAACAACATCGGTGATGCACACCCCTAAACCCTAAAACGACAAGATGCACTTCTACTGGTCGACCCTGCGTTTTTCGAGATTCCCAGGCTCTCCGAGGAGGAGAAGAGGGGGGAGCTGGTGGACCGGCTCGTGCTGAGCAGGTGCGGTGATCCTGAGCTTCTGTTGTGGCTGAATAGGTGGATCTGAAAATTTGTAGCTCAGATGAATTTCTACTTGACGGAGAGAGTGAGGCTTCAGGGTTGGTCCTTGGTGGTTCAGGGTGGTGGAGTGTAGAATTTCGCCTCAACTTCTCAGGCCCGGAGGCATAGTGAACAACGCTGGAGCTTTCTCTGCTTCACCTTGGCGAAAAAAAGCCTTTATAGCTTCAAAAGCGCTCATGCCTAGGCCGGTCCTTGTTGCAGCTAGGCAGAATTCCAAGGCCGCGTGACAGGAATCCTCAAGATTCACCGGCCTGGGCCTAGAATCCTCATGCGTCAACGATGCAGACAGGAGAAAGCATCGCTATATATGGGGCCTTAATCACTCTGTCCTCTCAGAGGATATGAAAAGTGTTACCGTAAGGCTTTGGTATAGGGGCCTTGATAACCAGAATAGGGCTTTGGAGTGTGCATTTTAGCACAGTTAGTTAAAAATACCGAACTCAGAGAATAAACATGGTACCAATGCTCCAAAATCATGCAGGCCCCTGGACCCAGTACCCAGAAGTCTGGCAGCGCCCTCAGCATGTTAAAGCCTAAAACCCTTAAATCCCTACTTCTGACGACGAATCTCTTGCAGACCTTGCCAGGCTTGTCCGAGTGTGAGTGTCAGAAAATCCGAAGAATGCTCTAGAGATGCAGGTGGGCAGAGCACTGGAGCGGCGAATACCCCGTAGGCCGCTTCGGGACCATCCGTGCTGCACTCAGGCCACAAAAGGGCCATGAACGAAGGACTTTAGATCCTCATGGTATAACCCTCAACACTACGTCTTAGAAACCCTACACCTGAAGCCAGCTCATGGTTGGAAGTGGCTTCAGACTTGCCTGGCTTGCCCGAGTGTTGGTTTCAAAACCCTAAGTTCTAAACCATAGACCCTAAACCCTAAACCCTAAACCCGAACCCTAAACCCTAAACCCCCCAACCCTAAACCCCTAATCCCTAAACCCTAAACCCTAAACCTCTAAACCTCTAAACCTCTAAACCCTAACCCCTAACCCCTAAACCCGAACCCCAAACCGAGGGGCCGCCAAGCTGCCAAGGCTCTGCCCGAGCCTTCGTCGAGACGATGCAGCGCTTGGCCAGGGACCCAAACCTCGGACGCCGGGGGGGGGGGCCTTAAGCTCGGTTAATACAGGGGCATAAACAATTAGCTATAACCTAAAACCATAGTACAACAAGCTCGGTTAAAGGGTTTGGGGGTATATTATACTTTAATTATAATAAGCTCGGTTAGTGCAGAGGCCTAAACAATTACCTATACTATTTCGGGGGGGGGGGGG